AAATTTACATGGAGGGACAAATTAGCTGAAATAGCTACAATGATTTTGAAAAAATAAGTTAGAGGAATCTCACACTTTTGAGACTTACTGTGAAACTCTAGTAATTAAGACAGTGTGCGGTGTCGAAGGAACGGGTACACAGCTCCATGGAACACAGTGGAGTCCAGAGATAGAGGACTGTCGATAGAGATGGAGAGTCCGGAGACAGAGGACTGTCAGTAGAGATGAAGAGTCCGGAGACGGGACTGTCGATAGAGATGGAGAGTCCGGAGACCGGGGACTGTCGATAGAGATGGAGAGTCCGGAGACAGGGGACTGTCGATAGAGATGGAGAGTCCGGAGACGGGGGACTGTCGATAGAGATGCAGAGTCCGGAGAATCACCTGGAAGATGACTGCAACCCAGAAATTGCCCAAACTGATCTGTTGATTTAGTGCAGTTCCAACCAATCAGCAGAAAGCCCGGGCGTATACCAGTTAGTTCTGGTACACCATGGAGGACAAATTAGCTGAAATAGCTACAATGATTTTGAAAAAATAAGTTAGAGGAATCTCACACTTTTGAGACTTACTGTGAAACTCTAGTAATTAAGTACAGTGTGCGGTGTAACATGAACGGGTACACAGCTCCATGGAACACATCAGGAGTCCAGAGAGATAGAGGACTGTCGATAGAGATGGAGAGTCCGGAGACAGAGGACTGTCAGTAGAGATGAAGAGTCCGAGACGGGCCTGGGTTGAGAGAGAGATGGAGTCCGAGACCGGGACTACCGAAGTAGAGATGGAGAGTCCGAGACAGGGGACTGTCGATAGGAGATGGAGAGTCCGAGACGGGGACTGTCGAGCAGAGATGGGAGAGTCCGGAGACGGGGTGGACTGCCGGGAGAGAGATGAGATGTCTGAGACACAGACTGCCGATAGAGATGCAGAGTCCGAGACGGGGACTGTCGATAGAGATGCAGAGTCCGGAGACGTGATCAGAGGGATGCAGAGTCCGGAGACGGGGATCGCTTGAGAGAGATGCAGAGTCCGGAGACGGGGGACTGTCGATAGAGATGCAGAGTCCGGAGATGGGACTGTCGATAGAGATGGAGAGTCCGGAGATAGACCCACGCAAACGGGGCCCTCAGAGTTTTGACAAAGAGCAAAATAAATTCAAGGGAGAAAGGATAGCCTGTTCAACAAATGCTGTTGGGAAGAGCAGTCATTTGTGTCAAAAACCAAACGCTGACCTAACCCTCATGCCTCATGCAAACATCTAAAACTACAAAGCTTTTGGAAGGAACCATAGGAAATCCTCATGACCTGACATTAGGCAAAGAGTTCGTGGATTGACACCAAAGATGCGATCCATTGATGGAAAAGAACCAATGAATTGGACTTCATCAAAATTTAAAACTTTTGCTTCAAGACACTTTTAAGAGAAAGAAGACAGACTCCAGGCTGGGAGAGAAAACATTTGCAAATCACACATCCCACAAAGGACTAATATCCAGAATACATAAAGAACATATACAACTCAGCAATAAGAAAACAAAACAGTCCAGTTAACTGTCAGCAAAAGAAATGAGCAGACAGTTCAGCAAAGAGGGTGTGAGGATGGCAGCTGGGGCAATCGTGTGTCATTGGCAATCAGAGAAAGGCAAACTGAAGCCAGCCTGCTCACATGCCGGTTGGGACACTGGTGCTGGCGAGGGTGTGGCCACCTGGCACTGTGTTCTGCTGGCAGGGACACAGGTGAATAGATGAGCACGCCATGTCCGTCTGCAGGGGCAGCATCTGGGCAGTGAGGAGCCGTGGACGCCCAACACTTCCGCCACGTGACTGCATCCCAGGGACCTCCTGCGTGCAAGAGGGGCCCAGATCGGGAGGACCCTCGTGGTGCGATTCCTTCCTGCGGCCCATTCCTGAGGAGCCACCCCCGGGGTGCTGGGGACAGAGCAGTACGGCCGTGAGTGGCCACGTAAGCCACTGCATGTCCTGATTGTGGTCTTGAATGCGTGAGTCCATGTGTGGATAAAATTCATAGAACTATATACCAGAAACGGTTTACTGATAATTCAAAAAGTACAGGAAACAGTGGTGTTCCATCTTTCAGAACAGATGGGACAATCTGCAGTGTCCCTCAGTTGCTACTTTCTGTTGGTTTGCATCCTGGGAAAGGGTTTCCATCTCTGACCTCCACTGTTTTGAGACCTGTTGCATTCCTGTGGCCAGGTGTGTCAGATGTCAGCAGGCAGTGTCAGGGTCCCTGGAGCCAGTGCTGACTCCTGCAGACTGCTGGGCCTGCAGACTGCTGGGCCGTGCTGGCTGGTCCGTGCAAGTGTCAGGTCCCTGAGCCAGTGCTGACTTCTGCAGACTGCCGGGTCAAAGTGCTGGCTGGGTCCCTGCTGTGTCAGGGTCCCTGGAGCCAGTGCTGACCCTGCAGACTGCTGGGCCGGCTGGCTGGTCCTCACAGGTCAGGTCCCTGAGCCAAAGGATCTGCAGACTGCCGGGCCGTGGCTGGCTGGGTCCTCGTGCAGTGTCAGGGTCCCTGGAGCCAGTGCTGACTCCTGCAGACTGCTGGGCCGTGCTGGCTGGGTCCTCGTGCTGTGTCAGGTCCCTGAGCCATGCTGACTCCTGCAGACTGCTGGGCCGTGCTGGCTGGGTCCTCGCATGTGTCAGGTCCCTGAGCCAGTGCTGACTCCTGCAGACTGCTGGGCCGTGCTGGCTGGGTCCTCGTATGTGTCAGGTCCGGAGCCAGTGCTGACTCCTGCAGACTGCTGGGCCGTGCTGGCTGGGTCCTCGTGGCTGTGTCAGGTCCCTGGAGCCAGTGCTGACTCCTGCAGACTGCTGGGCCGTGCTGGCTGGGTCCTCGTGCAGCAAGTCAGGTCCCTGAGCCAGTGCTGACTCCTGCAGACTGGCTGGGCCGTTGGCTGGGTCTCGTGCTGTGTCAGGGTCCTGAGCCAGTGCTGACTCCTGCAGACTGCTGGGCCGTGCTGGCTGGGTCCTCGTGCTGGAAACATGGGCCTCCGCCTGGCCCTTAGGGGTCTGGGCCACCCCTACACCATCTGGGAACCCCGGGACAGTGGGGATATGTGTGTTCTCCACATGGTTCTCGAGGAGCAGATATTGAAAGGACTGTCGTCTCTGCATTCTCAGAGGGTCTGACAGCCGGTGGCGATGCCCACGGTGAGGCCTACAGCCTGGGCAGGTGGGCGCGAAGGTCATGCAGAGCTGCCCCAGGGCGAGGATGGCACCTGAGAAGCAGGTGTGGGCACTGCGTCCCCCTCCTCATGGTCTGTCCATTTTGGGGCCACACTTCCCCTTCGGGTGGCCTGACTCAGCCCCACACAGGGCACACGTGAGAGCTGGTTTGCGTTCTGGAGGTGGGTGCTGGGAGGGGGTTGTCCTAGGGCCCTGGTGGTGCTGGGAGGTGGCCTGGTGGCTGTTTCTCTTGCAGAGGGCGGAGTGCTAGCATGCAGGGCTTGCAGTGTCATCCTCTAGCCTCTTGGTAACTCTGGTGACCCCCCTGGTATCTGCAGTGCACAGGCTGAGGGGCTTCTTGGACACAGCAGAGGGGTGCCCAGAGACACCAGAGGCCCTTTGTCCAGAGACACCGGAGGTCCTGTGTCCAGCTGGAAGGATGGCTTCTCTGGCTGTGCGGGAAGTGGGCGAGCCCCCAGTGGCCCTGTCTCAGCCCTTGGGGCATCTCCCCAGCTGCTTGGTGGGCTCTGGAACCCAGGGCACGATGCTTGGAGCTGGCTAAGAGAAGAACGGCCTCCGGAGTGGAGCCTGGATCCGTCCTTCTTGGCACTGCCCCACCCAGGGCCATTCCAAGAGGAACCGTGGCTGGATGAGGAGGGTGGGAGCGGTTCGTGTGGAGCCCAGTACTGGGAGGCTGCCCGTCGGTCTAGCTGGGGCGGTGGAGGCAATGGTGGTTGTGGTCTCGGTGTGGAGGGGCGTTTGCCCAGTGGCCAGTGCTGCCCTGTGCTGTGTGGCCCATTCCCACCTGGGGTGAGCTGGGAGCTGGTTCTTGGGGAGGAAACCCCGACCCATAGTGTTGGCCGTGTCTCAGGTGGGACCACTCCCAACACACTCTCCACTGCCTGTGGGTGCGTATTGGCCCCAGTATGCTCTGGTTCAGGCCTGCGGGGGCAGCCGCTGTGGGCACAGCCTCGGAGGACTGAGGCCCAGCACCATGGCAGGGGGAGAGGGGTGGTGGCCACCAGGTGGGTGCCCTGGGTCTTGGTTGTGTGCTGGGGCTGGAGGGGTGTTAGGGGCTGGGTGTCACCTTATGTTTACATGAACTAGAGCACACCCTTGTTGTCATGGTTGTACCCAACAGTAAGAGGCAAACCCAGGGTGTCCATGTCCCTAGGATGCTCCAGCCTGCTCTGGGACCACGAGTCTCACATGACTGGCGGCCCTGTGTACAGGGGCAAGAGGAGGCCTCGGGGTGGGCCTTCCGGGGCCAGGTCCCTGTCCTGGCCAGTCTGTTGACTGCAGGTGCCACAGAGACCACTGCACTGCCTGGTTTCCCCGGAGAGGGACTTGGCTTCTAGCAGTCAGAGCGGGGCGCTCCCAAAGGGTGGGGCCTGGCTGACAAGCCACAGCACAGCTTCCTGGGAAGAGAAGGAGCCTCTGTGCTTTTAAAATGCAACAGAAAAACAGCAGCACACATTTGTGTGAATGAATACAACTGAAGCCATTTAGAAGTGGAGAAAATGAAGATGAACCCTTTCTTTTAATCACACGCGTGTACAGCCGTGTGACTGGCAGGGTCCCCAGCATGATCCTGGCGTTGTTCTAAGTCAGCGCAGGCAGACCCCTCCGTGGAGTGCAGTGTGGTCCCCGCAGACGGCGGGGACAGTGTGTCTGCCCGAGGAGGGAGATGCCTGAGTCTGCCACACCTCTGCTGCTGGCGCCGCCTCTGCCTGCAGATGACCCGAGCAGGAGGGACCCGCTGGCTGGGTGGGTGTGCAGCAGGCACATGCCCTGACCGTGTCTCTGTCCCCACAGACAGTACTACTGGTATGATGAGCGGGGGAAGAAGGTCAAGTGCACGGCCCCGCAGTACGTTGACTTCGTCATGAGCTCCGTGCAGAAGCTGGTGACGGATGAGGACGTGTTCCCCACAAAATACGGTTCGTCTCCCCCAGCACTGGGCGGTCATCCTCGCGGGGGTGCAGGGAGCACTCAGGACCAAACCCCTGTGCTGCGAGGGGCAGAGGCACGGAGGGCGGCAGCTGCACCGCCCCAGCCCCTGCTCAGCATGGAGTCACCTGGGCTCTGAGGTGAGGCCGGAGCCCTTGGGCAGGAGTCAGCCCAGCCAGGGCTGAGGGCCGTCTCCCTGGCCCTCTGGGCCATGCCGCTGCTCTGGGCCCCTCTTGGTCTGTGCCGCTCACGCAGAGACCACCGTCCACCTTGTGGGGGCTTGGGCTGGGGATCAGCTGCGGAGCCTGTGTCCAGATTTTGGTGGGATGTGGTGGGGCTCCACGCCACTCCCATGCTGCCAGAGGGACAGCAGGGGACAACAGGAGAGGCCTGTGCCACCATTGCCACCTCCATCCTGGCCCGAGAGAGGGCCCCAGGTGTCCATCAGGGAGACACGGGGGCCCAAGTGCCCAGTCACAGGCCCCTCCCTGAGGAGGTGGCCAGGATGGCCCAGCGAGCACCCAGCCCTCAGGGCAGGTGCAGCCTCCGGAGCCTTAGCTCGCAGGGAGGTCTCAGCAGCCCGGACCTGGGGTTGGCAAGTCCCTGTTGTGCCTGCTGGTGGGCAGAAGCTATTGCTGTTGGGACTTTGTAGGCCCCGAGGGTGGCAGGGTCAGGATGTGGGTGGCAGGCACCAGACCCACCAGGATGGGTGCCAGGGGCCTGGCCTCTGTTGGGGCCAAGGGACATCTGCAGCTTGTGACACAGTGGCCTCCCCCAGGCAGAGAATTCCCCAGCTCCTTTGAGTCCCTGGTGAGGAAGATCTGCAGACACCTGTTCCACGTGCTGGCGCACATCTACTGGGCCCACTTCAAGGAGACGCTGGCCCTGGAGCTGCACGGACACTTGAACACTCTCTACGTCCACTTCATCCTCTTTGCTCGGGAGTTCAACCTGCTGGACCCCAAAGAGACCGCCATCATGGACGACCTCACCGAGGTGCTATGCAGCGGGGCCGGCGGGGTCCACAGTGGGGGCAGTGGGGATGGGGCCGGCAGCGGGGGCCCGGGAGCACAGAACCACGTGAAGGAGAGATGAGCCACCCGGGCTGGACAGGGGCGCACGTGTGCAAAAAGACGGTGGTGTGTGTCCTCTCCTGCATCTGCGTGTGCACACATGTGCTTGGCACGCGTGTGGTGAGGTCTGAGAGGGCCCCGGGCTGCGCTGGTGTGGGCTGCACAGACGCAGACAGCCCCGGCCATGTCCTGCGGCCCCTGTCGGATGGATGCGTGCCGTTTGTAGAGAAGAGCCTTTGGGCCCATTCGCTCGTTCAGCAGACACGCATGGGACTGATGCTTTGAGTTTTCTTCTGTGGGGTTTTCCTTTCTCTGGTCTCCGTGCAGCCCCTGCCCTCCCTCGGGTGCTGCTGGCCTCAAAGGAGGAACTTGGTGGGGGCGTCTCCCCCGGAGGGGTGATTTGCAGACTTGGGTCTCTGCTCTGCTTTGGGGGTGGGGCTTGCTTTCACAGAGACCCTCCTTCCCTCTCACCCCCTCCTCTCCTGGCCTTGCCAGGAGTCTTGGCTGTTGGCAGCTCAGAGGTGGGGGAGGCCTGTGGTGCAGAGTGCCCTGCACCTGCTCCTGTCGCCCCTTCCTGCTGCCTCCTCCATGCCCAAGGAACGCCCATGGTGCAGTCCTCAGGCAAGGCCAGGACGGGGCTGAAGCCCTGCGTGGAGATGCTGCACCAGCAGAAGGCTGAGACCCGCTTACCTTAGTTCATCTGTTCACTCGTAATAAAAAGAATTCTCTCAGGTCAGAGCCTGTGTGCGTCTCAGCGTCTCGGTTCCCCCCCCACACACACACACACACTGTGGGCAGCCCGGCCACTTCGCGAGTGGGCCTCGGGAGACAGGCACCTCGGGCTGCTTGCCCCGAGAGAGAGTCAGGCAGACTCGCCCCTCACTGCCTGTGAGGTCCACAGCCAGCCTGCAGGTGCACGTGGGGAAGCACAAACCCCGTGTCACTCTCACCCTCCCCAGCCACCTCAGCCACCTGCCCTCTCTCCCCATGCTGAGTGGCGGGGACCCTCCAAATGTGGCCGCAGTCAGCTGAAGACATCTTCTCCGAAGGAGGCTCACAGAGCCAGCCAGCCCGAAACAGTGGCTCTGCCGCAGGGGCCCTTCCTGGCCGGGACAGTGTGGCCCAGGGGCAAGCAGGTTTTGTGTCCTCAGCCTGGGAGTGGGTAGGCCGTGCTGCAGGAGAGGGGCCCTGCACACTGAAGCCTGGGGCTTATCGGGACCTGAGAGTGGGCTGAGAGGTGGGAAGAGGGCTTCGGGTCAGGGCCTAGTTCGGCTACAGACTGCCTCAGGACTATGGGTCCCTGCCAATGGCACCTGCTGCAGTGACCTCGAGTGCAAGCCCCCGCCCCTGCTTGGCTAGTGGGGGCCTGTCCAGTCATGGTGCTCCTCTGGCCTCGGGCTCAGCCTGCATGATGCACCTGTGCCCAACAGGCCCGTTCTTGGCTTTCCCAGGGACCGAGCTGCAGGTCAGTCCCTTCCCTGCCCTGTGTCTGCCTCCCACTTCAGGGCAGCAGCGCTTTGGGTTTCTCAACATGGCTGGAGTCAGCTGGCGGCATCTCAACATCCGCCCACCACCTCCCACGAGGGCCACATGACTGTGACTCTGGGCCACACAGTGAGTCAGTGCCTGGAGCCACACCCAGTTCCCAGAGGGAGGCCTGCTGGGTGCCACCCACCCTTGTCTCCTGATGCTCTGCGTGGACCCCCAGAGTGGAGGCCCCAGGACACCCACGGAACTTGACTGAAGGGGGGCTGAGTGGAGCCCGAGGCAGGGATCAGGCGCTGGCCTAGGCGGCAAGGTCTCCCGACGAGGGGGAGGGCAAGACGGAGGCGGGTGGCCTGGTGGGGCTGCCTTCTCTGGCCTAAGGCTCGGCTGGGAGTGTGCATGGAGCTCTGGCTGAGGCCACAGGGGCCAGCCGGGCACACAGCCTGGAGTCGCTGTATGCTGGCAAGCCTGGGGCTGGCTGCAGTGGAGGCCAGGAGGAAGGTTGGACTGAGAGTGCTGTGGGCACAGGGGCCTAGGGACCGGCTCCACAGGGCTGGAGGGCTGGGAGGACACTGGGATTGCTTAGAGGGCCTCAGATGGAACGTGTGTGGAGCCTGCGGGGCCGGCCTTAGGAGGTGTCCAGGGCACGCATTCCTGCCGGTCTCACACTCAGGATGCAGCTGCAGGGTCCCAGGAGCACGTGGGAGTTGTGGGCACAAGTTCCTTTGGGAAGGGTTCACAGGATGAGGGCTGGCGCTGGGTGTTGGGCGCCTGCTGCTGGAGCCACAGTCTGGTGGACCGTCCGTCCAGCTCCTGGGCTGAGGGGACTGTTGTGCGCCGTCCTCCGCTGGGAAGGGTTCTTGCTGCAAGACCTGGAGTCCTGGCCAAGCCTCCTGCCTCTACCTCCCTTTCCTTCTGTGAGCGGGAGACCTGTACACTGAGGGGGTCTCAGTGGTGCGGGCTCGGCCCTCACCCCCAGCTCCCGCAGTCTCTGAGGTCTCTGTTCTGAAAGGTAGAATGATGGTCCCCAAAAGAGATCCGATGTCCTAATCTGAGAACTGTCTCCTTAGACAGCACAGGAGGATGGAAACCGCAGATGGAAGCGGGTTCCCGATCACCTGACCTGGGGATGGGAGGTTATCTGGATGGGTCCAGTGTTGTCAGGATGGCCCAGGGCACTGAGCAGGAGCAGCGTGGGAGAGGGCCTGAGTCAGCAGTGCAGGCAACTCCTAGAAGCTGGGAAAGGAAGGGAGCCCAGAGAAAGCAGCGCCCCTGCTGACTCACCTGGTGAGGCCCGTTTAGAATAAGTTCGTTTTGCCTCCAGCCATGAAGTTCATGGCAACTGCAGCAACAGGAGATGAGGCAGATTTTAGTTCCGAGGCATGAGAGGCACTGCAAGCAAACACCTCGGAAGGTGGAGTGGCTTTGGAGATCGGGCAGAGCTAAGAAAAGAATTCGAGGTGATAGAAAAAGCCTGTGATGTTTGTTAAACCCAGGTGGTAGAAGGATGGAGGCAAGTGGGGCTCCAGGGGCTCGGAGGAACCGGCCTGGGCTTTGAGAAGAGTCACAGCTGCTGTGACCTGTCCTCAGACATGTGGGGTTAAAGGGTGAGTGGGAGCTAGAAGAAAGGGCCAGGCAGAGGTAGGAGAGCCCTGTCGATGGGAGTAGAGCACAGCTGTACTCTGTCCCGTTGCCATGTGGAGGAGGAGGAGAGGCTGCACTCGCGGGCGGTCAGCCTGGCCCCCTTCCCACGCTGCTGAGGTCAGCCAAGTGAGGAAGGACATTAGCAGAGGGTGAGCACCCTGCAAGTCTCGAATTCTCAGCTAAAGATGCTGATGTCAGAGTTTCTGTCAGGAATGTGTGCTTGGAGTAACGGCCACACGAGGCTCCTGGAGGAGGCGAGCCTGTGGCTGGTGGATGCTCCGGGTCACCCAAGCAGATGCTGAAAGCAGGGACAGCTGTGGGAGGTCTGTGGGCCCGAGCCTCGGGTCTTACGGAGAAAGCCCTGTGGGAGCAGGCGAGGAGCTCTTACACCATCAGAAGCTTGGCTGGCTTGGACTGAGGCAGAGGGGATGTGATGAAAGGCTCTTGGGCCCCCAAAAATCAGCAGGCAGGAAGCAGACTAAGCTGTTCAGCTGCAAACACCCACCACATTTCATACAAGCGTGGCCCTGAGGGGTGGAGGTGTCAGCACAGGAGGCAGAGTCTGGACCCACAGAGAGGTTCACACCCAGGCCTTGCCGGGACCCGAGGAGTATGCCTAGCTGGATTTTGGATTTCTTGGGAACGCGACACAGGCACCGTGCCAGGTTTCTCTGTCACGTGGGTGGGTGTGTGTGTGTGCACGTGTAAGCGACTGGGTTTCACCGTCCACCCAAACTGGAGCGCTCACTGCAGCCTCGAACCTTCAGCCTCCTGAGCAGCCAGGACCACAGGTGTGAGCCACCATGCCTGGCTGGTTTTGAAATATTTTGTGGAGGTGAAGTTTCACTACTAAGGCTGGTCTTGAACCCCTGGGCCCCGGTGATCCCTTCTGCCTCAGCCTCCCAAAGTGCTGGACCAGCACCACCCAGCCAGACTGTCCCTTGAGGGAACAGAGATGTCTGCGACTGGCATTCGCGTCTCTGTTCTCCGGTTGTATTTTGGGCAGTTAGCTGGTTTTCTAGCTTTTGGGGTCCACAGATGGAGGCGGAAACTGCGGAGTGGGAAGGCCCAGAGTGTCACCCATACCTGGTCAGGAGTAGCTTAAGTGCGACTTAGGACTTGTAACCTGATAGGCTGAACATGAGAGTTTTGGAGATGAGTTTGGGTGCCATGTTCGGTGGAGACTGTTGGGGCCGCGGGGGGAGGGATGCATTTGCACATTGGCATGGGTGTGAAGCAGGGGGCACGGGAGGTACTGTAGTCGACCTAAGACATCCCTCACCACCGGCTGTGTCCACATCTAGTCCTGTGGAAGTGAGCGTGCCCCGGCAGCAAAGGGAATAGAAAGCAGCAATGGGATTAAGGCAGTCAGCTGACCTTGAGAGGCAGAGAGGTGGTCTGGGCCCAGTGGGAAGCACGCGGCCTTCATCATGGAAGCTGGACGCAGGCTGGGCGCGCAGGACACCGCTCTGAGGCTCCACCCACACTCCTGGCTGCGGGTGGAGACCCCAGGCCCCAGGATGCAAGTGGCCACAGATCCTCCCCTGGAGCCTCCAGAGAGCACACACCTTGATTCTAGACCAGGGAGACCCCCTTGAGTGAGACCTGCCCAGTCCTTGACTCTGGGACTGTGAGGTACTGGTGTTTTTAAGCTTCTTAGTTTGCAATAACCCAACTATGGCGGTGATAGGGAGAGCACAGGGAGGCGACACATCTACCTAACAGGCTAAGGTGTTCTTACAGGGTCCTGAGGCAGGTGCAAGAGGGCCCAACCCCCAGCATGAGACCTGCAGCGTGCGTCTCCCGGGCCCGTCTGGCCACGAACATGGCTCCCAGGTCGTATTCCTACGTCTATCGGCCCTGCCACTCTCCAGCAGGCCCCGCTGCCTGGAAGGTCGCGCTGGTTCTCCCTTCTGTTGCTGGCTGCCTCCTCTCTGGCTCTCTGTGGACCCGACCCCTTGCCGTATCACACCGAGACCTGGGTTGGTGGTGGGGAGTTGGGGTGGGAGGAGAAGTCACTGGAGGCGAGTGGGAGGCACCTGGACTTCACGGCAGAGGAGCCTGGGCACCACACCACTGGAGGAGGGAGGAAGGCAGGACGAGATTTGGCAGGGCCAGGCCACTTGTGAGGTGAGCTCCTGGCGGGGATGGGAGCAGGACAGCTGGAACATCCCACCCTGGAGCCGGCACACAGGCATGAGCCTCCTCCTGCAAGCTCTGAGGCTTTGTAACATGAGGAGTCGTTTCATCTCACAGCTTAGGAGGCCGGGGCTCTGTGCCTCTGCCCTCAGCTGACTGGGAAAAGCCCAGTGCAGGCTCTCCACAGAGCAGAGCTAGGCCTGGACTGCTGTGCAGGGCCCCTCCTGGGCAACCACCTCTTGCGTGCTGAGGCCGCGTCCTGTGTGGGGCCCGAGTCAGACTCGTCCCCACCACCCACCTGCCATGCCATGGGTGGGCTCACCCAGTAGGCTCGTTCAGCAGGGCCCTAGTTCTCGAGCCAGGCCGTGGCAGGCTCTGACCCCAGATGTGCCTGTCAGGTTAGCCACCTGAGAACTGAGGACCAGGACTGCGAGCCGTCCTCTGGGTGGGCCAGGCGACTACCACATCCTTTTTCAATCTCCATCTTAATTTCTTCATAGAAATGATGTGAGGACCGACTGGTGTAAAGTGAGACTAGTGTCTGCCACATCAGAAGTCCTGCCATATTTGTTTTCATTTTTTATAGAAATACCAGCAGATTCTGGCTTAGCTCGCTTTGGGTTCTGTGCCCCACAACCAAGAGAGCTTGGTGTCAGAAGTGGGACTGCAGGATACAGCCCCTTCCTGAGCAGACTGGGGAGCTGGCAGGGTTCTTGACTATTTCCTTTTGGGCCTCCAGTCATGTGCCTGAGAAGGCTGGCTTCTCACCGTGAATGTTTAGAGGAGGACCAGGGTATTGTGTGTCAGCCACTCAGAGAAGCAGGTGCAGGACCACAGGTCAGGAAGGCTTCTGGTCTGGGGCTGGCAGCCTGTGACCCCACAGACCGTCCTGCTTCGCTGAACTGTAGCAGCCAAATTCCTTTCTCAGCCTGTTCCTTAAGGTAAAATGAGCCGGGGGAAACTGGATAAGCCAGGATTGGAATGGAGTCTGATTCCTGGGCCCCTCCAAGTGCCTTCTCTTCGGGGTACCCACCTCCTGTGAGCTCAGCCACTTGGCAGTCCAGGATCAAGCGGGATGGCTCCAGCTTCCTTAGTGTCCCGGGCTCTGAGTGGAGCCCCGAGCTAACTAAGCCTGACAGACATGGTGACCCCCTGGCTCCCTCCAGAGAGATGGGTACAGGCACAGCTTGAAGTTCAGGGCAGTGGCTCTCACTTGGGGGTGATTCTGTCCCCTACCAGGAGACTCATGGCAATGTCTGGGAATGTTTGTCACGCGGTAGAGGTGGGACAGCTACTAGCTTCTGTTGGACTGAGACTGGGGATGTGGCCCCACCCCATCGTCATCCCACCACAGCTGCGTGTGGCAGCACCTGCTCCAATATTAAGCAGCTGGGTACAGTCAGCCATGCCGAGTCCTTCACACAGGAGGAGTGTGCGTGGGTGGATGCCACAGTCTGCCTGGACCCTGCTGAGGCCTGCTCCTGGCCTCCTCCAGGCTGCAGTGGACTCCTGGCCACTGGCCTCATACAACATGGGCCTGGACTCGCCTTCGGCGCGGCGGCAGAGGGGCAGCTGGGCCGGGAGACGTCGTGCCAGTGGAGCCCTCGGCCCTGGCTGCCCTCTGTGGCAGGCATGCCTGGGACCATCCCCGCTCTAGCTCCCGGGGCTGTGCTCAGCCTGGGCCCCTCACTCCCAAGGCTGGGTCATGGCACCCTAGCCGGCCTCTTCCCAAGTGAGGAGTGGGAAGGAAGCATTCTCAGGAAAAGGCCCAGGCTGGGAGTGGCCCATGCAGGCCTTGTAGTGGCCGGTGCCATGTAAAGAGCACTCCGCCCCGGCCCATGCCCGGGAGCCACGCCTCAGGCTGGGGCAGCCTCAGGGGATGGCCCCACGTGCGAGTGACCTCTGACCCCAGCTGCCCGGACCCTTGCCCTCTTCAGCTGGGCAGAGGGTAGCTGCGTTCACACTGGCGCAGCCCAGGGCCGCAGAGTGGGGAACAGGGAAGCTGTCCTGGGCTGTCCGGAGCCCTGCGCGCGCGCCTGCCCGGAGGAGGCCTCGTCGCTGTCTTTGCGGAAGGGATATTATTCCGGCGGCAGTCGCTCACAGTGCGACAGAGGTACACTGCAGGGGCTCGCCCATTTCTGTGGCGCCTGCTGGAGTCGTGCGTGTCGAAGCACAAGAGGAAGGCGGAGACAGAGGCAGCACACTTCGTGTCCTCGATCTCCGTGGAAGCCCTTCCCGCCTGGGCCGCCCGGTTTGCTGTCCTAGGTGTTTGCTTTTGTTCTTACGTCTAGAAATCCCAGCCTGTGGCAGAGGTCTCATGTCAACAGAAGCATTAAAATGTATACACGAGGTGGGTGAGGCAGGGCAGGCACTACAAGCAGACAGACTCCGGCGGCAGGCCTTTGTACATCAGACCCGCCGCCCCCATGGCCGCTGCATCCGGGCTGTGCCTGGGAGGGCTGGGCATGGGCTGAAGGAACACAGAGGCTGGAGCTGGGGTGAAGCTCACGGCGGTGGGCACTGGGCAGGGGGCCTGCAGCCCCTCCAGCCACGCCCTGGGCCTCGCTCTGCTCAGAACGCCCATCGGAGGAGCGCCACCGACTCACTCTGTCCTTTGTTTTTTTCAACTTTTTAAAATTTTACTGAAAAGCCCCGTGCCCCTGCCGTCTGTGTGTGGGAGGGCCGGCTGAGGAGCCTTCCTCCCTACCCTTCACCCTTGGACACAAAACCAAGATCGCCCCAGCCACCAGGTCTTGACAGAGGGGCACACAGGCGCTGCACCATCCGCTACGAGATGCTGCCCCTCTGCCCCGAGCCCCCTGAGTGGAGCTGCTTCTCCACAGAGAAAGCGGAACCATGACAGAGCGGAGCCGCACCATCTTAGATGTGTGTGCTGCAGAAAGAACCGGGAGCAAGGGACTGAAACAAAACCTGGCCCTGTCCAGCGGCGCCCCCCACCCCCACCTTTTCCAAAACCACCAAGAAAAAAAAGTTTATAAAAATATCTTGCAGGAATTCTTTAAAGTTTACAGTAGCTCACCAGCTGCCCCGAGCCCCACCAGCTCTGTCCTCAGGCGCCTGACTGAGCCCACCACGGCCCGAGATGGGCAGACGGCAGAGATGCGGCGCCGCCCTTCCTGAACAGAGGTGTAGAGAATCCATAAATTAAAACAGCAAATAAATAACACTGATCCCAGCCCCAGCGACCTGGCCTGCTGGGAAGGCTCTGAGCGCCCTAGGGTCTCTGTTTCCACCTCAGCCAGGGAGGGCGCCCAGAGCCACAGTCGCCCAGATGAGGCAAAGGAGGGGCGCAGGTGAGGCAGAGGAGGACAGAGAGGCAGCCTGGGGAGGCCAAAGACTACACGGAGGCGGAGGCGCACGGCCAGGAGGCGGGGCATGGGCCCGCGACGCGGAAAACCTCCAGGTGCGGCGTGGAGGCAGTAAGACGAGGTGGGCGGGGTCTGTTCCTGTGGCTACTTTGCCCACCCGGGGAGTCCCGAGCCCAGAGGCCGCCAGGCAGGCTGTTCTTGCTGAGGGTCGGTGGCAGTCGGGTTGGCGGGGCTGGAGAGCTCCCAGGCCTGGCCCTCCTCACGGGCCGTGCGGAGCCCCGAGGCGAGGCTGCGCGGGGTGGACGGGGGGCGCTGGGCTGGGCCTCGCTGCCTGGCAGCAGCAGCAGGAGAAGCGGAGGAAGCGGGTCGCAGCAGCCGCCTTCGGTCACGAAGGATGGCCTCGTGGAGTGACATGTTAACACCTAGGGATAATTCCTGGTATCAGGAGAATGGAAACAAGCGCGCTGTCAGACAGGCAGAGACAGAGACAGGAGAGAAAAGAGACAGGAGAGAGAGAAGAGAGCGGGCGCGGGTGGCACAGCCCGCAGGCCGGCCAGCGCCTCCTTTCCTCCCAGGCTCCTGGGCAGTCTGGATGGACGGGCGCGGCCATGGTCCACTTGGGGCAGGAGGCGGGCGGGCGGCGAGGCAGCCGCTGTCGGTGCTGTGCTGGGGGAGGCTAGTGTGTCTAAGGCTGCTCGCGGCGGGGCGGCGGCGGGCCCATGTTGGCCGTGTCCTTGCCCCGTTGGGTACTCGGCGTCCCCTCGGGGCCAGGGCCAGCGGCCGCGGAGTCACGAGTGGGCCGTGGGCACTCCGGCCGGCGGGCGTGCTGGGGCCTGGGCCGCCTGCCCGTTCTTCGTCTGAAAAAGTTGTTAATTACGTCAAAGAAGTTACTCCAATGGCTGCCTGGGTACACAGAACAGAGACAAAAAAACAAAAAGAAAGAAAAAAGAAAAAAGGAGGGGAGAGAGAAAGAGGAAGGGAGGGAAGGAGAAGAACAAACAAACAAATGAACAAAGGGAGCCTCGGCGAGGGAGAACCCAGAGATGAGGCTGAGATGGGGCGGAGCGGGCCGAGCGGGCGGCAAGCGGGGTGGGCAGGTGGCAGCGGCAGGGCTCTGCGGCTGGGGGCCTGTGCAGTGGGAGCTGTGCGCCCGTGGGGCCAGGAGCTTGGACCCCAGTGCCTCCGGGCTGTTGCGGACCCAGGAGCTCCTTTGGCGAAGTGAGGCTTGGGGCAGGTGGTGAGACCCCTCCCTCCCTCCCCACCAAGGCCTGGCCCGGAAGGCCTTGCACCTTACTGCCTCCCCACCTCACAGCTGGCAGGGGACAGCCCCACCCACTCTGGAGATGACAGGCGTAAAGACAGGGCCTGCTGGAGCTCTGCAGCCTCGCAGGACCCTGGGGGCTGCACAGAAGGCCCCACTGCGTGAGGCCAGTGGAGAGACAGGGAGGCGTGCCTGCCTCCCCAGAGGCCCGCAAACCCGACTCCTGACCAGCTTGGACACAGTTCAGCAGCAGACAGACAGATGGACAGATGGGTGGACAGGCATGGAGGAGTGGAGTGTGGGAGGCAGGCTGGGGTCTGAGACAGGCAGCTAGAGTCGTGTCCGGGTCTCTGGGATGGGGCAGTCCTGAGGGGCCCGGTTGGAATGGGGCCCCACCCTTCTTGGGGCCCTGCGCTCACTGCCCAGGTGTGCCGATGGAGGCACGTCAACCCTACTTCCTCAGCCTAACCACCACCTGAATCACAGGCTCCTGCCAGGCACGGCCTCAGTGGACAGAGGGATGGGCACCTGAGCCACAGCCTGCCAGTGGGACCAGTGGGACCCTCACTGGCTTCCAGGCCTTGGGAGCCTTCCTGGGCCTGCCTGATCCTGGGAGCCTGGCAGAGGGTCTGGCCAGGAGCCGCCTGGGCCCACTGTGGTAGAAGCGACCTGGGCTGCTCCCGGTAGCGGATGGGGCCGAGGGACATCCTGGGCTGCTGGTTGCCTACGTCTATCTTACACAGGAAGCCGAGACAGCCGGGCGGCCCGGGTTGTAGAGCGGAGCTGAGGTGAGCGGTGGAGTGGCAGGCGGAGGCGCCAGGTGAGCGTGGGGGATTCTTACCACATTTGGAAAGCCGCCCCGTCATCATTTCCATACAGTTAGTGGTGTCTGGGCACAAGAATGGAGAGGAGGGAGGAGTGAGTGAAAGGGCCGCCCCGCGCCTTCCGACTGGCTGGACGCCCACAGCCTCGATGGGGGAGGGCGGAGCCAGGGTGGGTGGGGCCCCGGAGGTAAGGGGGGAGGGATTGGGTGGAAGCAGATCCAGAGGGGCAGAGGGCCTAGAGGGGGCAGTGCAGGGGGGCAGGGCCTGGAGTGAAGGCAGGGCTGCGAGGCAGAAGCAAGGCAGGCCACTGAGCCAGCAGCGGGTCCTCAGCAGCCTGAGCCTGAATCATAGCTGGAGTGCCTGGGTGGGCATAAGCAGCCTCCCCTGGGCTGACAACCCTGCCTGGCCGTGGCTATTCAGTCACTATGCATCCTCACTGTGCCACTCGTAACCGAGACCCGTGGCCCCTCCATCTGCCCCTCAACTCAAGGCAGGCACCTCTCCTCAACCTCTCCCCTGCTGCTGGGCCTGGGATGTTGGTGCTGCCAGGCCAGGACTTGGGGTGGGAGCAAGGCCCTGGAGGCTGCTCCCTGAGGAGCCCTCACTGGCACCTGCAGAGGGTGGACACATGCCCTGGTCTGCCTGTGCCTGCTCACTGAGTGGCTCTCAGCCCCCTCCTCGGCAGTCTGGTCTCAGGAGGTGAGTGCCTGAGGAGGGCCCCTGCTGTCGTAGACACCTTCCACACGTCCTTGGAGCTGGGCTCACTGGACCAAAGAGTGTCAATGTGGGGGGGCAGGGCTGGAGTGTGCATGGCAGATCATGAGACAGGCTGGGCCCCTCAAGTCCAAAGGCAGACAGATAGAGGGCCCAGAATAGGCCCCGAGAGCCTCTGCAATGGGCTCCACTGAGAGTCCAGGAGTCAGGGCGAGGCTGGAGAGGGCTGGGAGTTAGCTCGGTGGGGTCAGTGCGTGCTGACGGGCAGGACCACACTTTGCAGGAGCCAGGCTGGGGAGCTCTGCCCACAGCCCACGCAGGAGCAGCCTGAGGCACCCATGTGGCTGCTCAGGTGCAGGAGACACCTGAGCAGCACCAGGCCCGTTTTCTGCTTGCCCTCCTGGACAAGCCCTGTCCGTCCTGGCCTTGGTGGCTGCCTGTCATTCCTGGCCTTGGTTCCTTCACAAGATGAAGGCTTTCCAAGGCTCGAGGCAGAAGCTGCTGCCGGCCGATGGCACAGCCTCCACTGTAGGGCAGAGCCACATGTATCTGCGGGGCTGAGCACCTGGAACCCTGCTCCCCCTTGCCCGCTGTGCCAGCCTGGCTCCCAAAATCAGGAGAAGAGAGCATCCTCCACCCACTGGGGCTTCGGTTAGGGCCAGGGCTGTTAGGGACCTCAGCCCCCAGCCATGATGGGGTAAACACACTTTTTAGGCTCCACAGTGGTAGATGAGGATGAATGAGGATGACAGGGGAGTGGGGTGCAGGGGCCCTCTGCGGCTCCGGACCCCCTGCAGAGTGACCTAGCACGCCACAGGCTGCAGAGATGAGCCAGGAGAGGGGCCCCCAGGAGTCCAGCCGGGTGCTCCCCCACATAGCCTCCGCCACCGCTGTTCAGGTAGCCCACACCCTTGTTGGCAGACCAGGCCCATGCATGTGCCCAAGTGCTCCGCCTTGCCCCACCACACGTGGGCCCAGGGGAGGCGGGGGAGCCCTCCCTGCAGGATGCCGGTGGCATGGACCCTTGGGCTCCTGGCCCTGGTGGTTCCAGGCCAGAGCGACCCTCCCCTGCACAAGCCCGTGAGGCTGTGGTGAAGCCCCAGCTCTGGCTGGGCTCAAGCCCCTCTGCCCTGCTGGAGGCATGGCCCTGGGCTGTCAGGAAGTATGGAGAGATGATCACAGCCCATGGGGCAGCCAGCCCTCCTAGGGTGCCATGGCGGGAGCCTCGAGGCAGAGGCCTTGTCACTGCTCTCCCAGGGCCTGTGCGGGCTGCCCTGTGTCTGTCCCAGCAGATGGGCCGCCGGGGCATGTTGAGGAGCTGTCCAGGGCGAGACCTGTGGGTGGGCATGGAGGGCCCTGCTCAGGACCAGCCTGGCTCGCCGAGACCTGCCCGCCCAGCCCCTCCCCGCCCCAGCACAGGCCGGGCGCCTTACCTGCCAGCGTCAGAGGCTACTCTCGTAGCTGGTGGCCACCTTCTGGCCCTTAAGCCCAGCACCCCAGCTTAGTCCTGGCGCTGGTGGGGGGGTTCTACAGTGGACAAGAGCGCCTTTCAGTGTGGTGCGGCCGCGCCCCTATGTCCCTGGCGTGCAGAGGCAGGTGGTGGTCCACGCCGGGCGGGAGGCCCCTGCTCCCTGAAGTGCAGCCACAGCTTGGGGCAGGAAGGTGGGGGCATCCGTCAGAGGGAGCCAGGAGGCTGCGCCAGGGCTCTCATGCCTCGAGTCTGCGCAGCACCAGCTGGCCACGCCCCACTCGCAGGCTGCAGGTTGGCCGGGCTAGACCCGCCTCACCTGACAGAGTGCTGGGCCGCGGGGGGTGCGTGTGTGCTCAGCAGCTGGGCCTGGATAGTCTCCACCACCCTCTTGAAGCGGCTGGGGCCTAGGGAGACAGGGGGTTAAGCCCTGGACAGGCCTGGGCCAGGCCGCCAGGCACGGCTCACCTGAGCAGGGTGAAGGTGACCCGGAGTAGATGCCGTTCTCCTTCTGCGCCTCCTCCCTCCGTGTAAGAGTGATATCCACCTGGAACTTGACAGGCTTCTGGAACACGGCTGGCCCCCGTGGCCTTGTACTCGGCCAGGAAGCTGCGTCTGGGAGATGACACTGTGGCTGAGGCTGGGGATCTGTGGAGAGGGAGCAGTGTGAGCGCAGCTGGCCTGGCAGGTCCCACCCTGGCCCTCTGGGAGAGGCAGCCCTGGGGCGACCAGCCACCGCGCACGTTGTGAGCACCCAGGCACCTCTGCTTCCACATCTGTGAGGGCACAGTGCAGGTGGACAGGAGTCGGAGCAGGGAGAGGGCCTTTCAGCCCCCACCCTCAAAGCTTTGGTCCCCTTAGCAGGGCGGCTGAACCCCCTGCCATGGACTTTTCTTGCGCAGCCAGCACAGGACAGCCAGGACCTCACAGAGAGCCTTACGGGCAAAGATAGAGTGAGAGGTGACCCTGCAGCCTGAGGTGGGGTCGAGGTGGAGCTGAGTGGGAGGTGGGGAGTCTGGGAGCTGCCTGAGAGGTGCCAGGGCAGGGCTGGGGCTGTGCCCTCCTGCTGGGGCTTCCTGGGACTCCCACTGCTTGCAGGACTTATGGTGCTGGGCACTGGCTGTGTGCGGCTCCACAGTACCGAGGTGGCTGCAGAAACAGAACTCAGAGCCACCCGGCGCACGGGGCCCGGGCTGGCTGCACGGCCGCCTTACTGGGGCTGGCATGGGGAGGGCTGAGGCCACTGCTGAGTCTGAGTTGGCTGTGGCAACTGGGGCAGCATGAAGAGATGTGGTGAGGAGGAGGCCCAAGAGAGTAGGCAGCCTGTGGGGACGGGGGCTGAGGGTCCCGAGGCCAGGAGTCCCAAGCGCAGCCTGAGGCCTGCCCCAGCGCTGGGCTCTCCTGGCCCTGGAGCCTTCTGCGGGGGCTCCAAGCTGTCCCAGGCGCTAAGGAACCTCAGCTGCAGCCAGGGCAGCGGCTGAGTGCCTGGGGGGCAGGCGTCAGGTGGGGTGGAGACCAGCCCCCAGCTAGAGCTGCCACAGGGAACCACAGCCTGATCTTGCCAAGATCCTGGGGCCTGGGCGTAGTAGGCACAGCAGGACAGCAGCCCTGGGGGAGGCAGGCAGGGGCGGCGGGGAGGTGGGGGCAGCCCCTGTGATGCCTCCCAGTGCAGAGCGGGGCAGGGCTGACAAGGAAGGGGCCTCCTGATGGGACTGGGTGCTGGAGTCCTGGCAATGAAACTTCTCCATTTGAGGCTTGAGGGCTTTTCTCCTCTAACGCCCAAGATGCCCAGCAAAGAAATGAAGCCCACCCAAGAGCCTGGCGCGGTCACTGTGAAACCACCTGGCCTCCGAGGGGCAGGGTGAGACAGAAACCGAGATACCTGAGGCCGGGGGTGAGGCCGCGCACGGGTCCTGGTCACGGCCTCCAGAGCTTCCTCCCTAAGTCTCATGGAAACGTCCCCCCTCTGAGACCCACCCAGCTGGAGCCCTGCCTTCTGCCCCACGTGCCAGCTGCCCAGGCCCGCCCCTTCACACACCTAGGGCTGCTGGGGACCAGCTGAGCAAGGCCTGACTCCTCTACAGGCCAAGTGCCCCAGGCCGGGCAGGGACCCTCCCTCCAAGCTGGGCGGAGACAGCGCCTGTCAGTGAAAGGCAGCCAGGCCGGCCAACCCAGCTGGCGGACGTCTGTGCTATGTGTGTGGACGTGACCCGTCTAAGTGAGAGCCTGGATTCTCGGGGCGTGGCGTGGGGTTGGGAGGGCTGCCCGCCTCCCCTGGCGCCCTGTGGCCTCACCGACAGGAAGGCGTGCGATGTCAGCCAGTGGAGCTCAGAGTTTGTCTTTAATGACCACGAAGATCTGCTCCTCCTTCTCCAGGCTGATAAAGTTCCCAAACCAGGACTTCTTGGCCAGCCTGGGCAGCGGGAGACAGGCTGAGGACTGAGGGCGTGGTACTATCCACACCCCTGCCTCCCTCGAACCTGGGGCTGGAACAGTGGAATCCTCAATTCCTGCGTGATGGACCGCGGCTGTCTCCGGCAGTGCTAACCCCTAGCCCATATGCCCTGACCATCACCGTTAGCAACGCCAGCCTGACCATGTAACCTTTATCCAAGCCCTAATGCCCTAACCCTGGCCCATGGCCCAGCCGGTTCCATGGCCCTAACTTCAACCCACCTCTTGGTTCCTAGAGTTGTGTCCAGGCAGCACTCGCTGGAGCCCCACTGGGAAGGAAAGGAGGGGAGTGGGTGGCCCCCCTGCCCCTGGCCTTGCTCCTCCGTTTCTGGCTGACCTAGTCAGGTGCCCAGTAACCTCTGGCTGAGGTGCCCAGCCTGGAGCTAGGAAAACCAGGGAGCTGTGCGCAGGCAAGCGGCAGGACAGGTATGGCACAGACACCAGGAGCTGCATGCCCTCCCACCCAGACGGGGCGGCCTCAGCACCCCTGGGGCTGCCCTCCTGTGTTTAGTATGTGTGGCCATGTGGCTTCCCTGTGGCCAGCCGGGCAGGGGCAGGTCCTACCCTGTAGAGGAGGATCGCCTCCAGACCTCTGAGGCTGGCTGGGGAAGGGGTGGTTCAGGAGCTTTACACAACCACGCAGACCCTGGCTCCCAGATGCCACCACAGTGGGTGGTCCCCACCCTGGACTAGGGCAGTGCTGCTAACCTCATGACTGGCAGGCCTGACAGCATCACTTCCTCTGCTGGACACAGGGCCAGTAACAATGGCTGGTACCACCCACCTGCAGACCGCCTGGCTACCCCACACCCCTCCCTACCCCTGGCCCGGCTGCCCGGCCTGCCACTTGCTCCCAAGTCTGAGGAATGTCCCTCCACAGGTGAGGCTCCCTCACCAAGGCCCCCTGTGAGAGGTGGCTCAGAAGTTGGGCTCCTGAAGTCACCTGTATACCCACCCCCAGGAGCAGGCGGGGCCTGCAACTCGCTTCCAACAGGAGGTGGGGCGCTTCTGAGGCCACAGAAGGCTGCTCCTGTCTTGCTGGCAGGCTCACCCCAACGTGCAGAGGCCCTCTGCTCTCCAGCTCAAGGAGCACCCAGCCCCACCCACCAGCGGGGAGCCAGAGCCCAGTCATGAGGACCACAGCCAGGGCGCCTCTGGCACAGCCCGAGACTCTCAGGCCCAGAGTGCGGGGTGGCTGTTGCGGTGGTAGCTCTCGCTGCGGCGTCCCATGTGGCTGCCTGGAGGTGGAGTGCACTGAGAGGCAGAGGCAGGGACCGGGAGGAGCGCCAGCAGGCACAGGAAGCTCAGTGGTGCCCTCTCCCGGCTGATTCTGGGGGCCCCTCAGCAGCCTCTCAACTCCCCTTTCCCATTCCTGGAGGTGCCTCGTTGGCCACTGTGGCCGTCCCCGTGAGGCCCAGGAGCCTTCCTAGACAAGCACGGGGGCCGGGCCCAGCCATGCTCAGCCCCTCGGCCGCCGCCTCAGTGTCCTGCTGGTCTTGCTGGCTGTCTGTTCTGGGTTCAAAGCTCCGAGGGCCAGCTCTGGCCCTGACCTTACCCCCTCCCTATGCCCAGGACCACCAGGGCCAGGAGTGCCGGGGCAGCCAGGCAGTTCTGGAGGTACAGACCGGGTTCGGCATGAATACCCACGTTCTGCCCGAAGCGAAGAGACAGGAAGATGGCACAACGTGACTCTCACTCTGAGGCCCGGGGTGCAGCGTTTAGCAAAACTAGTCCCATGTGAAAGATGCTGGAGGGCCCAGGAGGCCAGGCCGATGAGGGTGAGGGCCTGTGCTGTGACTCCAGCACCCGTGATGGACAGTGCACAGCCTGGCCGGGCCTTCAAGTCTAGGTGTTGCTGCCAAGCGATTTTTAGATGAGACGAGACTTAATCAGTCTCCTGTTGGAGTCTGTGGGGACCCTTCCTCAGGGTGGTGCATCCACCAGGTTCGGTCTTCCTAGAAGAACGCCCTCGGGCAACCTGGAAACTGCCTGGGCTTCCAGCCAGGGCTTCAGACTCAAGGACATCAGCCCTGAGTGTCCAGCCTGCAGCCCTGCATGTCCCAAACAACCGCACGTGCCCCTTCCTGAAGCCACTGCCTCCCTTGCACACACAGCCCCTTGGTTCTGTTCCTCTGAGGTGCAGTTGACATGGGAGCTGGGGGTTGTCTCAGTCCCAGCAAGCGAGTCATCACCCAAGACGGTCTGTGGGAGCGTCCGTGCCGGGCCTCGGGGAGGGGGTCAGGGCCTCCCAGGCCGTCTCAAGATGGGGAGGAGAAGCGCAGGCAGCTGCAGTGGCGTCAAAGCCACCTTCTCTGAGGAAGATAATTATGAGTCTGTTCATGAAAGCTTTTGGTGGCAGCAGAAATGGCAATGTCAGGGCCTAGGCAGAGGGTTCCCAAGTCTGCTGAGCCCTGTGCCTCTGGGCTTGCGATGATGCCTACACACCTCCCGACCCTGGAAAGGCACCCGGCTGGAGGCGCGCCTGACCGGCGCAGAAAGGCACTGGGCGGGATCACAGCACAGACTGCAGATGCCGCTCCTGGGGCTTACTGGCGGTTTCCACGGGGGCCCCTGGTTTTAAAAACCAGCAGCAGGATAGAGGTTCTTCTTACTCAGTCCACAGTTGCCCCTCTCGTTTGGGTCTCCTGTGAAGTGACTCGGGCCTGGCCACCGCTCTCTGCAGCTGCCTGGCCTGGGGTCACGCCGCAGGCTCGCATGTCTGCGCCAGCAGTCGCCTGGTCACGGAGACACTGCCCAGTGACTGAGGCCGTCGTGGAGGAGAGGGGAGAGGGCCTGGGCACTGGGAAGTCTCTGGGGACATCTTTGCCTGGCCGCGGTCACAGCTGCCCCAGGGCATCACAGCACCTGGGTGCTGTAGAGTCTGCAGTGGCACCTCTCACGGCTCAGAAAGGCGGCGGGGCCGGGCCTCAGCAGCTGCTCTGCTCCGCCCCTGCACACACGTTCCCACAGGGCCTGCTGCCCCAGGGCTGCCTCTTTCTTCCTAACACAGGCTGCTTTCTCCTTGAGACCGGACCGACCCTGAGTCTCTGCCCTTGGCAAGCTCAGGCCCTCGGGAACTCTGCCCAGCGTACCCCCAACTCGCCTCCCAGCCAACCCCAGCAGGCTCTCCTGAGGCCTGAAGCTTCTCAACAGAGCTGGGGCCTCCTCCCCTGGCTGGCCTTCCCCTCACTGCTGGGTTGAAGTTCAGAGACTCAGTGGCGAGGCAGGCCTGCCCGCGGTGGGAGAGTGGAGCCAGTGGGAGAAACCCCGTCGGCCACAGGAAGGGTTCGTGCCCCTCACCGGTCAGCCCAGTGTCAGGTACCAGGAGGCCTCCAGCAGGGGCCACTTACTCTGGAGGCGACTCTGGGAGTCAGGATTGAACATCTCCTCTGGCGTCGGGCATGCACCTGGGATGAACAGGAGGGAAGGCCTGGTGACACTCCATCTTCCCCCTGCCCCCGGCCACCTTGCGCCGAGGTCAGGGTCATCGAAGATCCACCCCGCACACTGGGACAGTCCCCGGGGCACAGTCCCGACCCAGCTCAGCCACCTTAGAGCTCCACTGGCCATGGTGCCTTTTCCCGGGGCTAAGGGGAGCTGTCCCCGCCTCTGGTGCTGAAGTTGGCTGTGCCTTCTCCAGCAGCACTGGCTGGTCCTTGATGCCCACACATAGGGCCTCCTGACTGGCAATTGCCCCTTGGTAGCCAGCTCTCCCTGCTGTGTGCCTGGCCCCAGGACGAGGTGGGTAGACTAGGGAACACAGAAATGTCTGGAGGGGTGCCAGCCTGTGCGGCCAGGTATAGGACCCAGGCCTACGGCTGGGCCTTCGGGACAGTGAGCCATGGGCAGGCCCAAGCCACCCCGTGCAGCCGCAGGCCTGCGGACTGGTCTGGCACTGCTGGGGGCCTCCCGGGCAGCCTCTCCTCTCCCAGCCCTGCTCTGGCATCTCCGGGCAGACACTCACCTTGCAGTTTCCGGCGGTGGAAGCGGGGTGAGCCCAGAAAGCTGTTCTTGATGGAATTGAGCCGCCCTCCAGGGCACCCTCCGGCCCGCTGGGGCTGGACGGTGGTGTGGGGTTGGGCGTGCCGGCCGGGCTCTCCTTTGGCGTGTGGACAGGCGTCCCCTTGGGGGTGGGAGGACTGCCCCTTGGTGAGGGAGTGAGGGTCACCTGTAATTAAAGGGACCAGTTTGGGTGTTTGGTTCAATCCCAGTGGGTGGGGGCCTGGGGGGCACCCGCAGGATCAGGCGGGCCCAAGGCTGGTGCCAGCTGGGGACAAGGCGAGCGGGAGACCGGGCCGGAGGTGCTGGCAGGAAGAGGTTGGACTTGGTGCCCTCTGCAGAAGCTTGTCGGTCAACAGCCTTGTGGAGTCTGGGTCTTGGGGTCGGGCGCGGGAGTGGCCTGCGGAGGAGAGGATGTATCCGGGCCTCGGCGCTCCACAAGCTTCGGGCTCCATGGAGGTGAGGTCAGGGCGGGCCACGAAGGGCAGCTCGGGCGGTGGGGGCAGGACAAGCTTCCTGTGGAACTACAGGAGGCGCAGGGAGCGCGGGCGGGGGCAGCCGCGGCACGTGCACCCAGTCCCACAGGCACATAGCACAGGAGGACCAAGAAAGAGAGCGGGCGGGAGGCGGGGAGGTGGGGAGGCAGGCAGGGAGGCAGGCGGAGCAGGGAGGCAGGGGGTTCGCCACAAAGAAAACAAGTGACACACAAGAAAACAAAACAAACAAAAAACAAAAAGAGCGTGCAGTTAGCAGAGCAGCCGCGCATGAAGGCAGCAGCCGCCACAGGAGCTCGGGGCGTGGGGGTGCCTGGGGCCGCTCCAGGAGTCCCTTGAGCCTGCCCCCCGCACACGCTGACTGGCAGGGTTAGGGCCTGTGAGGATCCGGGCTGGAGTGGGGGGCGGGGATCACTCACCCGGGGCTGCTGGCGGGCTGGTGGAAAACCTGAGAGGCACAGCTGATGGACCGAGACCTGGAGGTCACAAGGTGCAGGGCCACAGCTCAGCCAGGGGGCGGAGCAGCAGGCACTGGGCTCTGCTCCCCCAGGTAAACCCTCCAGGTAAACCCTCCAGGCCTGGAGCCCAGGTAAGAACCTCCGAGGCCCTGGGTCCTGCTGCACACCCTGCCAATTCCAGGAGGGCCCAGGGCGCCTGGCTGTGCCCAGCCCACTGGGGCCCCCATCCAGAGCCCGTTGTGGGGGCCACCCCATGCCAGCAGGCGCAGGCACAGCACAGAGAAATGCGGCATCAGACGGCCGCAGCAAGGGACCCTCAGCGTAGAGGATGGACAGGGACGAGAGGATGATAGAGGCCTATTATTTCATGCAGCCACCTACCACCACAGGCTCATGTGTCCCAGCATTTCTTATGCCTGCTGTAAGGTCTCCTCCCTCCCAGTTAATACCCTCAGGACACTGTCCAGTTCACAGATCTTTGTGGATGCCATGAGGATCACGTCAGCGACTAAGCCTTTGATTCTTACATTTTCCGGGACGAAGGCGTCTGGCAGAAGCGCGACAGAAGACGACGCTGCGAGCGCGCCAGGCGTTGGCTTGTCTTCTCTTGCTCTCTTCAGCCCATTTGATTATTAGCAGGCTTTGCTGGCGTGCAACACAAGACATTTCAGGCAGGCATCTTCACTGAGGCCAGATGCATGTGTCGTCTCCTCTTTGCTTCTGCAAGGAGCAGCCAGAGCCACATGCGACAAATGCAGTTGCCATCACCCAGAAGAGAAGTGCGAAGGCGATATGGCGCGTTTTGCAGAAGTGGATCAGGTGTGTTAAAATACACCTCACATGCACTGTGGCCTCACCATATATGCGAGGCTCTTTTTGAGGGCTGTCTGGTCCACCTCCCGGCCCAGGCCACAGACATGGAGGCTGCAGCCACACACACCTGGCTCCTGGACACCCGGGGCTGGGCCCCACAGCAGCGACCGCCAGCCTCACCCAGGCACAGCCAAGGGGCAGGGAGGCGTAGGGGACACCATGCCCAACCCAGCCTATGTGCGGTCAGGATGGCGCCCGAGGCTGGGACTGGACCCAGGGCTTTGGGGCTGGGCTGCCGAGCTGCGGACAGCTCATAGTGGCAGCAGCCACCAGTGAGAACCTGGACCTGTGGTTCCTCTCAAGCCATGATCTCATGACTGGGCACAAGGAAGACAGAATAGGCGCCGGAAGCCCTGAGGTGGTGGGGGCTGAGCCCGGTCCTGTCTGGCCAGGCAGCCGCTGGGACACTGAGCTACAATGGCAGGGGCAGGAGAGATGGCGCCAGCCCTGAGGGCAGGCAGGGTGGGGGCAGGCAGGGTGGGGGGTCACAGGTAGGCTCGGGGGCCAGGTCTCAAGAGGCCCGGCCGGCAGCCAGCGTGGCGCAGCCTTGGGCCACCTGCCCAGGCTTGGAGAAGACTGGCCCCAGGCAGAGGCCCTCTGACGGCGGCACCTCCTGCTCTCCTCAGCTCCTGCAGGTGGGCTGGGGCGGCTGCTGGGCTTCAACTCTGGCCGGCCCAGGGCAGCAGGGCCTGAAATCCCACTATGGACACAACAGGGGCTGGCAGGAGGCGGTTCAGCCTGCAGCCACGCGAGGCTCTGGCCCCAGGCCCTGCAGGCCACAGTGTGATCCACCGCGGTGGCGTGCCACGCCTCGGCCAGCCCCCACCCTCCTGCCTCTTTGGCCTCCTGCCCTGGCCCACGGGCCCTTCCCTGGCTTGCTGGCGGCTCCCTGCCGCAGGGCCTGCAGCCCAGCCCGCCACCAGGCCCGCCCATGTGCCTGCCCGGCCTGAGACGGGACAGGCGTGTCTGGGGCTGGGAAAGTCTTGAGGATGGGTGGTCGAGTGTATACCTGTCTTCTTTTGCTGAATTGAGGATGGGCCTCAGCGATATCCAGGCTTTTACTGAACATTGCTTTACTACAGCAGAACAGAGCGAAAAACAGTTTTGCTTGGCCACATGCAGGCACGGGCGACCCCAGGCTGGGCCCTTGAGTGAGGCTTTCTGCGGCTCACGAGGCCGGCGCACAAAGATGGCGAGAGAGGAGGCTGGAGCCAGACGCGCGCCCCACGTCATGACTGCTGGGCAGGAGTGGCCTGGCCGGCCCCACCCCAACCCCATTTGGACCCCTGCGTCCCAGTCAGCAGCCCGTGTGGCCCAGCACCAAGCAGCTGGGTCTCTGCTGGCTGCTGGGTGACCCTACCAGAGCAAATCCTGACTAGGACATGCCAGGACTGATGACGCTTTCAGAGGCCTGAAATCTCTGCCCTGGCCCAGGCAGCCAGGCCTGGAAACTGCCCTGAAACCAGGGAGTGGCCTCACGCCACTGACCGGAGAGGCAGGCAGTGGGGTGGTGGAACCTGCCCTGCAGAAGTCCAGGAAGTAGGTACCCAGGGGCGGGGGGCAGGCACCTGGGCTGCGGGTTTGGAGTGCACCCCATGACATGCAAGGTCACTGACCAGGGCAGTAGAAGCGTAGATAGGAGGGCCCCTTGTCCTGGAGTCAAGCTGTGGCTAGTGGGCCTGGGAGGTTCCTGGGGCTGGGCCCAGTTGGGAGGCTGGGCCAGCCTGAAACCCTGAGGAGGGCCACTGGTTCCCAGGGGACCATGGCCTGGGGCTAGCAGAATTAGGACCACCAGTACTCTGGCCAGGGCTGGGGCTGGAACAGGTTTAGCCTGATGGCTGCCAAGTTACCTTGGTTCACAGTTTCCCCCAAGTTCCCAAAGAACAGGCGCCTGTCCACCCTAAATCCCAGTACAAGGAGGGGGCCACCAGGTGCTGAGGCCCGGAACCCAGGGCAGACCAGGGCTGCCCCGGCTCCTGGACCTCTGGTGTCCTGGGCCCAGGGCTGTCCCCAAATGCTGGAAGCCCCACCTGGTGAGGACATTTGAGCTCATCCCCCAAGAGGCCACACCGGCTCCACCCAGTTTGCTGAGGACCTCGTGCAGGCAGCCCACCCCACCCAGAGGCTCCACGGGGCTGGCGCCCTTCCTCCCGGCCTGGAATTACTCATCACTGCTGAGTTCTGTGATGTCCCTGGCCACACACACCATACTTGCCACCCAGAGCCGGGCCCAGCACTGTCCAGGCCAGGGGGACAGGCTTAGCCTGGGCTGGTGGCTCTGAGCATGGTGTGACCATATGCAACTCAGCCCAGCCAAGCTTGGGTCAAGCCAGCCCAGCCCAGCCCAGCCCTGCCCAGCCTGGCTCAGCTCAGCCAAATCCATCTCAGCCCAGCTCAGCCCAGCCCAGCCCAGCCCAGCTCCCAGCCCATTCTAGTCAGCCTAGTCAGCCTAGTCCAGCTTAGCCCAACCAAGTCCAGCTCAGCCCAGACCTGCCCAGCCGTCTAGTTCAGTACAGCCCAGCTCAGCTCCAACCGAGTCCAGTCTGTAGCCCAAACCAGCCCAGCTCAGCCTAGTCTAGACCAGTCCAGCCCAGCTCAGTCCTGTCTAGTCCAGTTTAGTCCAGCCCAGCCCAGCTTATCCTAGCCCAGGCCAGTCTAGCCCAGTCCAGCCCAGCACAGCACAGCCCAGCTCAGCCCAGCTCAGCCCATGCAGCCCCACCCAATGGCCTCAGCCAAGACCCAGGCGTGGGCGCTTAATGAGCCAGGCGGCAGTGCCACGCAGCCAGGGAGGAGGCCCAGCAGCCTCGGGGCACACACACCTCTGGCCGTGCTGGGCCATCTCAATAGCCCGCCGGCGCAGGCACAGGGCGCCGTCCGTCACGCTGAGCACCTCCATGGACTTGCGCTCCGGCCGCGCTTGCGTGCGGTTCAGCATCGGGAGTCACACGCTTCGGGGAGGTCTGAGTACAGATGAGGTCAGGCCAGACAGCCCCTGGATCGGTGGGGCAGTGCAGGCCAGGCTGGAGGCCACCGGACCCATTACCTATCTCGTTCGGGGCAGGTCCTAAGTCCTCCTGGCTCGGGTACCTTTCTTTCCGGTCCAGGAGTAGGAAGTAGATCATCTTCTCCTGATTCTCCCTGCAGTGGGCGAGAGGGAGGCGGGCAGCGCTGGCGTGGCACCGAGCCGCCGGCTCCTCCACCGGCCAGTGCTCTCCCACCCCAGGCCCGTGCCCCTCCCAGCCGCCTACTGCAAGGAGCCCCCACAGGAGCAGCCCTGGGCCCTCCTCGGATAGCAGGTCCTGAAAGCAGCTTATTCCCAGTGCGGAAGCAGCCCAGGAGTGCATGCTGTCCAGCACGTCAGGGTCGATGTCTGCCTCCAGGCTGGCGGATCTGCACCTTGCGAGGAACGGGCTGCTCTGGTTCTGGCGTTCTTGCCTCCTCTGTGGACTGAGGCAGGCCGCCCGGTCATCAGCTGCGGCCGGGCCTGGGCGGCTGGGAGGTGGGAGGCCGCCCTCACCTGGGGCCCTGCGTCCTGCCACTCTCCCTGTGCCCAGCCCGGGAGGCCTCCCTGCGTCCTGCCCGCACCCCGCACAGCGCAGGCCACAGAGGGCCAAGGGCCAAGGCGGGGGCAGGGCCTGCGCTGGGCCGCGCCCTCCCCCACCTTTCCTAGCAGGGCCTCCAGGCCACAGCAACAGGCAAAGCAGCGTTAGTGGGTGGAAAAGCTGCCCCATATACCATATGTGTTTCTGAATGTGCTCTAGCTACAAGGAAGAGAAACAGGGAGTTAGTACGGACGAGGAGCGGAAAGAGCCCACATTAGGAGGTGAGGGGAAGGCGGGGTGCTGGGGCGCGGAGAGGGCAGGAGGCGGGGGCCGAGTGAGTGGGAAGGTGGGAGGAGGATGGGGAGGGGAGCTCTAAGTTCCCCGGAGCTCAAGGCCAGCACCCCTGCCCTGCCTCTCCCCAAGTGGAGAAGAGAACACAAACCTCAAGGAGAGAAGTCGGGGGGCAGGAGGCCAAGTTGAAGTGCTCCAGGTAGGGGCAGGGGCCTAGGGGGAGTGGAGGGGAGGGAGGGAGGAAGCTGGAGCCAGGGCTGCCCCAGGTGCCTGTGCTGCCTGGGCCGGGCCCCTCCGTGGCTCTAGGAAAGGAACCAAGGCAGGAGGCAGGGGGCAGCCAGAGGGAGCTGAAGCCAGGAGAACCTGGCCCACCTGTGCGGCGGGGCGGGGCTGGGTGCAGGTGCGGGCAGGAGGCTGGGAGGGCCGGCCAGCCACATCCCCTTCTCTCCACCTGACTCAGGGACAGCTCGTGGGGCATGGTGGTGGCCTCTTAGGGCAGGCCGCTACCTGGAAGGGCCAGCAGAGGATGACCTGCTTCTGTCAAGTGGGCATGTCAGTCCCCCACACCAGGCAGCCCTGGAGAGTCAGGACCAGCAGCTGGGGGCTACCTTTGGCTCTTGCCAGCCCCCACAGCTGCCGAGGCCCTCAGCGGAACTATTCACCCTGCCTGGAGCTTGCCCCAGCAGCGTCTGCAAGCAGGATGGCTGTGATGGGGAAGCCCCAGTGCTTCTGTGTAACCTACAGCCAGGTCTCACCTACGTGTGCAGCCCCACCCCTGTGCACACCCCACACTGGTACAAGTGCTCGTATGCACCTGGACACTGCTCCTGAAGTGCACGTATCGCACCTATGCCCTCACCCAACCACATAGACCGGCATGTGTCCACACCTGGGCACCGCCACACCCTTGAACACACACCTGGGCATGTGCCTACATTTGTGCACCCACCCACACCTGGGCACCCCCGCACACCTGGGAACCTCACCTGGGCACCCACACACGGGCATATGCCCACATTTGTGCACCCACACCTGAACACAAGCCGACACCGACTTACACACACCTGTGCACACATCCACAAACCTAGGCACCTACTCACACACACCTGGGTAATACACATCTGGAGGCACACGCCCACCCCCGCCCCGCCACTCCTGGGGCCGCCCCGCTCCGAGGCACGCACACCGTGAGGCGTGCGGCGTCACCGATCATGCCCCGCAGCAGGCTCCTCTGCTTGGTAGAATAAAGTGCGGCATGTGGAACCGCCCGCTTCACCTTCTCCAGCAGCTGCCGCAGGTTGTCATCGTCAAAGGCAGAGCCCCTGCGGGCAGCCGGGCGGGGGTCAGCTTGGGCAGGCGGGTTGGGGAGAGGCCGGGGTGGGGTGGAGGGCTGAAGGGCTCTCACCACTAACAAAGGCCCGAACAGGATGGCGCCACAGCTCCCACCCGTCTGCCTTCCGGCCGTCGTACTTCTCCCCTGCAGACAACAGTGCCAGGCTGTGGGGGCGCAGGGCACGGCAGGGGAGCCTTGGCCGGGGTCGGGCTCCAGGAGCCGGCCCCGGGACGAAGCGGCCTAGCAGCACCTTGGGGTGCGGCAGGCTGGGAGTCCCACCGGGGTCAGGTCCCCTGCCACCTGGGACCCGCCAAAGCTGCGGGCAGCGCCAACTCACCCGGATCCTCACCTCGGGGCAGGCGTAGTGGGGGACCTGCGGGCAAGGATGGAGGTCAGCGGCGGGGCTCCGGGCGCTGTAGGCCCCTCCCGGGGTGATGGTGCACACGCAGGGCCCTCAAGGCTCCCAGGAGTTGTGGCGAGACGCCCCATGCATCCCTGAATCTGCAGGCAGGCTTTAAGGAGAGACCAAGGTGAGTGCTGGGTCTCTGGTGTGCCCAAGGCTGTCTGCCGCTCATTCAGAGCAGAGCCCAGGGTGCCCAGGAGAGGCACGTAAGCAGGTCCCAGCCTCACACCCAGGCGGAGCCCAGGGCCAGGACCGTACCCTACCCTTACTGTGCCGAGAGCCCTGTCTCCCAAAAACCACCAGGTTGTGTGGTGCTGGGAGGCTCGAACTTGTGGGGCCTGCCTGTGGGGTGCCCACGGTTCCCCTTCCCCAGCCCAGCCCGTGCCAGAGCCAGCAGGGGCAGAGGGCCCTGTGCCGCAGCTGGTCTCAACAGGCTGTGTAACCTGCAGAGACGCCATGCCGAAGTCTGCGATCCGGATGTTGTTCTTCTGCGTCAGCAGGAGGTTTTCAGGTTTCAGATCCCTGTGGCTGGGGAGGAGGGCGGTGAGGCTGAACAGGGCCAGTCTCTGCCTTGAGCACCTCCCCACCCTGGAGACCCCTGCTTAGAGCCCACAGCCTCCCAAGCACGCCAAATCCGCAGAGGGGGCCAATGGCAACCCAGCCTGGTGATGTCATGGGCAGCCAATCGAAGTCACCTGCCTGGTTCGTTTTGGCTCTGGCCTTTGATCAGGCATCCATTTCTCCTGCCATGCCCTCCTGCTGGCAAGTCCTTGCTGCCCCTCCTGCTCCTAGCACACCTGCTCTAGCCTAGGCCAACCTAGGGCCCCCAAGCACGCATGGATGCAAGCAATGGCCCTAGTGAGGCTCCCAAGAGCCCATGGGTGGGGCGCCAAGGCAAAACCTTCCCAACACACTGCCTCAGGGGAAGGCGGGGGTGCCAGGGTTGATGTTCCTCAGGGGAAAGACAGCACCTGGTGCAGCGGTGCATTTGAGGGAGCAGCTAAGGGGAGACGGTGCCCTTGAGGGTAGACAATGGGGACGGTGCACTTGAGGAGCAGCTAATGGGGCGGTGCACCTCGGAATAACACACTGGGGATGTAGTCCTTGGGGCACAGGGCATCTGCGGTAGCACCCTGGGGTTGGGGTCCTGGGGAGTGGGGGGCACCCGGGGTGGGGCTCACCATATGGAGTGGCTGTGGCAGAAGTCCAGCAGCGGAGATGATCTGGGCGGAAGAGCTTCCGAGCCTCCTTGGCGTCAGCCTCCCCCTTCCTTCACCAGGTAGTCGAAAAGCTCACCTGACACGTGTTCTAGCACCCAGTGCCTGCAAGAGGCGGGGGCCCCAGTGCGTAGCCCAGCTGTGGCTGCCGGCCGCCTCCTCATCCCAGGGCCTCACAGCCACCTCCTGGCCAAGCCTCTGCAGGCCGCCCCCATTCTCCCACTGGCTGGGGAGGCAGCTGAGAGGAGCCCTGACTACGGCAGATCTCAAACCATCTGGGTTCCAGAGGTGGGCCTCCAGGTGAGTCTGCAAGGAGCCTGGGGCAGGGTGGGGAAGAGGGGCGGGTGAAGGGATGGGTCTGGGGCAGAGCAGCCAGGAGGTTTGGAACCCACAGGCTGAGTGGGGTGGGTGCTGGGGCCAAGGAGCAGTGCATGGAGTGGCCTCGGGGCTCTGCCCTGCCTGCTCTGGCCCTCACACCCTGGAGTTACTGCACCTCAGTGGCACAGCGGGCACTGAGCAGGAGACCACGTAGCCACATCCAGGGGGCCCAGGGGCCGGTCTGGGCGCTGTGAGAGAGACAGGAGGAATGTGAAGGCCATGGGGAGGGTGAGGAAAAGGTTGGTGTGACCTCCCTTCCTACCCTGGCGGGCTCAGCACCCCAACATGGGGTCTCAGCCATGGAGGGTCACAGAGCTGGTTCCTGGTGAGAGGCCCGTGGGATGCTGGATGCAGCTGCCTGGGGCCGCTCCGTAGGCTGAACCAGCTCAGGGAGGCCTGAGGTGGTGGCCAGGTGTGGCCGTGGTGATGTCAGGGGCTGCACAGGACAAAGGGGTGGGGCCTTGGCACACGCTCAGAGTGGACTGGGGACCGAGAGGGGACCCGGCTGTCCCAGGAGCTGGTCTTGGCAGGAGTCGGGGCCCAGTGTGGGGATGGGAGCAGAGGTCGTGGTGGTGAAGCTCCACGATGGGGAGGAAGGTGGTAGAGGGCCATGGGAGACTCTGGGCGGGGTGGCCAGGCCCAAGGCTCAGCATAGGCCACCACCGCGGTGTCCGAGGGCCGTGGGACAACACCCCAGGCCAGATCAGGAGAAGCCCCAAGCGCAGCCGTGCCCACCTCCTGGGCTCTTTCCTGTCCTTGAGGCCTTGGCCTGCGGTGCCCGATCCTCCCCGCCTCCCCGCCTCCCCTCCAGAAGGCCTCCCCAGGCCACTACACGGCACCATGTCACAGCGGAAGCCCCGCGCCCCTCTGCCATCCCACCCAGTCCACCTCACCAGCAGCAGACCAGGACCGCCCCCGCCCCAGGCCTCTGGTGACAGTTTCTGTGTCCTGCTCATGGCGGGAGGCAGTGACTCCCACACCCCACCCCTGGGTTTCCCTCCCCCAGCCCCACACACAAGCTGGCCACCAGCACATGCTCCCCACGAGAATGCAGAAACCCAGGCCTGAAGCGAGAGGAGGCAGGCCTGAGGCGGAAGGTCGCTGCTGGGGGAAGGGGAGTGGCTGGGTTCTGCCAAACCCTCAGCCAGCTCACCCTGAGGGCAGCCCCAGCCCAGCCCTTCCATGTTCCCTGCCCCTCCATGCCTGATTCTCAGGGCGCCGGGCTGGCATCACCTGGCAGGTCAGGATGCCGCCCGGGGGGACCAGCAAAGGAGTCAGGTGGGGCTCCAGGCAGAGAGCCTCGGGCAGCAGCCCTCATCCATGGGAAAGCCCATCCAAGGCACGCAGGAGACCGCCCATGCGCGACCGCTGTGCCACTCCCAGGAGCTCCTGGGGCTGGGTGTGGGAGGTGGGGTTCACAGCCAGGCATGCCTGGGACACGTTGGGGATTTCTGCTGGCCTCGGTGGCGAGTGGGAGTGATAGGGTCAGGCAGGGCGGGGGAGCCCACCTCGCTGGGCTATGCCTCATGTTGGGGAGCCTCAGGATGGAACATGGCTCAGTGGGGCTGGGAAGTCCCAGGCAGAGGCCAGGAGGCTCAAAGCGTGGCCATGTGGGGAGGGCCAAGGTGCTCGGCCCCTTGCCTCGAAATGCCTATGCTCCCTCCAGAGAGCCCTGTTCCCCCTTGCCGGCCTCAGGCTGGTGGCTCTGCAAGCCCCTGAGCAGTCCTCTGGTCTGGTCCAGGAAGCAGAGACCACAAAGCGGCGGGGCTGAGACCCTACCCAGGCAGTGTTCATGCTGGCAGAGCCAGGGCTGCTGGGAGTGCAATAGGCACCCCTGGTCTCAGCCCCAGCACTCCCAAAGCTGGCCGCCTGCCTCTGCAGCGACAGCCCCACCTCGGCCACCCCAGCTCTTCCAGACCAGCAATACCTACAAATATTTTTGTTTTCATAAACGTCGTGCAGCTTTGGGGCGTGGGGTGCTCGATGGCTTCAGGACACGATCTCCCGCTCCCACCTGCATGGGAGAGACCAAATGTCACGCCAGGAGCTGAGGCACTCTTCTCTCCCCACAGACGCCACCTTTGGTGCCAGCTGTGGGGGCCTTGAGGGCGATGGGCTGCTCAGCTGGGGCCCTGGCTAGTGGAGGGCAGAGGAGGCAGGAAACCGCAGTGGAGGAGCCCAGGCCCCAGGGCTGACAGCAGCCTGTAGGGCTGAGGCTGGGAGTCCCCTGGAGCAGGAGGTCCCCTCCCCACCCGGCGTGCCCGGGAGGCGGGCCTGGGCCTCGGTGCTCTCCTCCTCTGAGGCGCTCAGGAATGAGGCCTCCCAGGCTCCAGCCGGTCGGATGGAGGGCCCTTCCGAGGCAGGCTGTGCCTGGGTGATCCTTCCTCATGGTGGAGCCTCACGGGAAGAGGGGGCAGGACAGGCTTCTGTGGGCTCAGGACTGGCACAGCGAGGTGGGGGCAGGTGACCTGTGCGTGGGGCATAGAGTGGGTGTGCAGAGCCGTGCTCAGGGCACGTGTCCCCATCCGCAGAGCTCCCAGCTAGTACTGCCCCCAAGTGGGGAGGGCCCCAGGGAGGGACAGAAGTGACCCCTGAGGGCACCTGACTCAGGATACCCAGTCCTGCTCCGAGGTGGGGGCAGGGCCTCCTCCCTCAGACATGCAGAAGCCTGTGCAGGCACCTGGTGCCCGCCCAGCACAGAGGAGTTGCCGTGTCAGTGGTGGGGCCAGCCGAGGCCACGGCCTGAGACCCAGCACTCAGGAGCCAGGAGTGGATGGGCTTTGGGGCTGGGGCCGGTCTTGTGATGGGGTCCCAGCCTGGCGAGTTGGCCAGCCTGTCCCAAGCCCCTTTCCTCAGGCAGGCAACTGTGCCTGGCACTTGCAGGTGACAGGGACACCTCCCCACCGCATCTCCAGGCCCTCCTTCCTCCAGGGCTCACAGGCACCTCCCAAATTCAGCATGGGACTCTCCCCAGCTATACCCTGTACTGGATCTCTCTGCCAGGCACTGTCCTGGTCCTGTCACTCCCAGGGCCTTGGTTTCTCCTCCAAGGCAGGGTCGGACCCTGCCAGCCCCATCCAAGCAGCCCTCAGCAGCCCTTGGCTGGCGCTCCCTCCCCATGGGGTCCCTGGGCCTTCCCAGTTTAGTGTGGTTAATTCCTCCACACCCCCAGCAGCTGGGGGGAGCTCAACGTGTCAGGGTCCCCAACCATCAGCAGCTTCCACAAGCCTCTCCTCTCTCGGCTACTCACTGGCCTACGTCCCGTGTCCTGCCCACTACAGCCCTGCACGAAAAGAAGTGAATGCCGGGGAAGGGAGGGGCGGGGCTCAACTAGCCCTGGTGCTGGGAGGGGTCCTGCTGGCCAGGTCCCACTGTGGGGCGGGACTGGGAGGCAACTGGGAGCCACAGCCTCTGCCTCTGCACCCAGGGTCCAGGCTTCCCAGCAGCTAGGGCAGCCCCTCCCCACTGAGAGGTGGGTCAGAGCCAGGAGTCCTCCACCCAGGGGGAGCCTGCCCGAGACCCCACAGTGACCAGACACCTGCCTGGGCTGAGGAGGAGGAAGGCAGGGCTCCCCTCTGCCAAGCTGGGCCCTGGCAGGGGTTGCTCTGAGGCAGGGGCCTCCTCTGGATTCTAGCTGGGGACACTGGGGCTCCGCCCACTGGCCTGCAGCAGGTCAGTACAGCAGCTCAACTGCCCAGCTGGGCCAGTCCCCTCAGTGCCCACTCTGCTTGGGGGGCAGGAGAAGGTGGGCAGGGCCGGAGGAGAAGAAGGACAAGGTGCCCTGTCAGGGGAGCCAGCAGGGTGCGGCAGCCCAGGAGCCTGAGGACCCCCCACAGCTCCACGGAGTCCCCGCCGGCTCCCACTCCCTGTGCTATTCCCGCCCCACCCACACGCCAGCCCCGCCTCCCTCCCCGGGCCCGCCCACCTTCATCAGCACAGACTCGCTCAGCTTCTCACGGTTGACGATCTTGATGGCCACCTTCTGGCAGGTGACACAGTGAACCCCAAGCTTCACCAGGCCTGCGGGAGAGAAGCACAGCCTCGCTCAGACCCGCCCGGGAGCCTGCGCGAGCACCCGGCTGGACTCTGCAGAGTGGGAGCCTCCTCCACATCCTGGACAACAACGGCCCCACCCACTCCGGGGCGGACTCGGCCCCGCCCCCTCGTCGCCTGTCTGGAACAGCTCAGTGCTGGCCTCGTGCTGCCCCCACAAGCAAGTCTTCCCTCCACGCCGGCTCTTTGGGCTTCTCGGGTCTCCGTGGCCCCCCTCTCGCCTTCTCCCTGTCCCCAGAGCACCCAAATCCCTCCTCTGGCCTTCAACCACCCTCAGCTGGGAGCCAGGAGTACCCTCAGGCCCCTGCGCGGCCCAAGAAGGCCATCCCCATGCGCCCTGTCCCGAGACCACACCTGCAGCCTTCTGCAGATATTTCCCCCTACCCGTAACCCTCCTCTGCTGAGGTACTGCTCTGCACCTGAGCGCCAGCCCCATGTGCACCCCAGGACACCAGGACGGGCTGGTGCTCCCTAGGCAGCACTGCCCTGGACCTCCGTGGCCCGCGGCCCCTTCCTTCCCAGAGCCTATCTAAAGGCAGGCAGGGTGCTCTGGGAATGTGCCTCGGCTGGGCACATGGTCCTGGTCCCCCTCCCCGCCTCGGCCCACCCTCCTTTCTCCTCTCCCACTCTTTTCACAGCCAGGTACTTGCCCCTGCCCAGGAGAGCCAGCCACACCCACAGGCCCCACCTGGCCCGAGCTGTGGTCTTGACACTGGAGACGCCCCGGGTGCCCACAACCCAGGCCCTCTCCCACCATCAAAGGTCCCCAGGTGCACTCTGAGCCCATTCCGTGTTGGGGCATGTTGGAATCATGTGGGAGCCCAGGTTATCACAGAGGCGCCACCTCCCAGGTGCGCCCGGAACACAGAGCCTGCTGAGGTTATCACAGGGGACGCCCAGACACCCAGAGCCCGGCTCAGGTTATCACAGGACGCCACCTCCCAGGTGCGCCCAGACGCAGAGCCTGCTGAGGTTATCACAGGGGACGCCCAGACACCCAGAGCCGGCTCAGGTTATCACAGGGCGCGCCACACTCCCAGGTGCGCCCAGACACCAAACCGGCTCAGGTTATCACAGGACGCCACCTCCCAGGTGCGCCCAGACACCAGAGCCTGGCTAGGCGTTCCCACTGGGCTTTAGTGGTGCTCATTCACTAAGTGCCACGATGCTGTGCTCAAATTTCACCCGGACTCAGCCTCACCCTGGTGACCGCGGGACGTCACCAGTGTTTACTGACCATGGTTTGCTCTGGGCTCCTTCCTGTGCACCGTTTTTATCGTTTGCGCACATGTGTGCATTTTCTTACCAATTTGCAAGAGCCCTTTGATTTTTATGGGAAATTAATCCTTCATTCATCTCTGGCGTTAAGCATCACTCCACCTGCCCCATCGGCTTTGGCTTTACTCTGCCCTTTCCGTCAGTTTCATTTGTGTGGCATCATGCTTGGATCTGGGTGAGCCCAGGCCGGGTGGGGGACCCAGGACCTTGCCGAAGACACGGGCTTCCCCAGAGGCAGGGGAAGCTGCAGGCCGGGTGGGGACACAGGCTGCGCACAGAGGGGCCTCCGCAGGAGTGCTCAGGAGGGGAGCTGCCTCTCCCTGGCAGCCTTTGATCCAGCACGAGGCCTGTGATTCGCAGCCAGGAGCACTCAGGAGGGGCCTGGTGCCCTTCACCATAATCCAGGGCAGCCGGGAGGTGCCCACAGGCGCAACCTCCCAGGCATAAGGCTGGCCTACCCCAGGGCAGGAGCACCTGCAAGAAGGACTCAGCCCACATATGGAAAGAAGCAAAGAGCTCAATGTCCCCCAAACACGGCTGCAAAGCGAAGGCATGATCCCTGACAGCGGCCTCTGGTCTAAAGGCCATCAGGCTCTAAAACCCCCAGGACAAACTCCTGGGAGAATACGAGCCAGGACAGAGGCTCCCAAAGAACGGAAGAAATGACCCAGAAGTGCCTGCACAAGGCACCCTCCAGAGCCCCGTGCCCTCAGGAGACCCCTCAGGAGTGATCAGGGAGACCCCCAAAAGGATGTAGGGCCCACCCCGCCCCAGGGCGTCATGAGGCCGGGGTGAGTAGGAGGAGGCTGTAATTCAAGTCCCCAAGGCCGCCGAGACAAGCATTCCCAGGAGGTGGCCCTTGTGGTTCTGCATTTTCTAAAGATGGCCCACAGGAGGTAAGTCATTAGGTCACAGCCACCAAGGGCGCGAGGCAGCCATTAAACAGTGGCGAGACCTGATCAGACCATGAAGATGCTCACTGCTGCGCGTGGCAGGATGCTGTTTACAGAGCAGCAGGGCCCTAGGCAGGGGACAGCACGCATGGCCACACGCACAGACACGCCACCTGTGTACACCTCTTGGTGTGTGCACACCTCTGTCTGCACACACACGCGGTGCACACTTGTGCACACACACCTGTGCACACACACACACACAGGACACGTACACCCATGCACACACACGCCCAGCACACACAAGCACCCAGTGCACACACCCCCAGTAACCCGTGTGCACACACCCATGCACACACAGTACACACGCCCGTACACACTCGTGCATGTACACACGATTACACACACCCCCACAGTGCACGCACACCATCGTGCACACACGTACAAACAGGCACACTCCCAGTGTGCGCACACACATCCTTGAATGACAGGAGCCAAAAGGTGTGGCGAGCACGGTCGACCTCCAGAAAGGAAAGAAAGTGGGGACTGACAGCAGGAGGAGTGACAGCCACCTGGCCCAACTTCCCAGAAGCCGACATTGAAAGGACACTGCTGGGCCCATCACAAATCAGGACAGCCGAGTCTCGGAGCACTGGCCTTGCTCAGAGCGCTGCTTTGGAGGCCCTTCACCCTTTGCAGATGAAGGGAGCAGTGGTTTCCATCCCCTGCCAGCGCATGTGGCTCAGAGGGCTGTGAGGACAGTGGACCAATGGAACACGGCATTCTGTAGCCCCCACCTTCCCAGAGGAAGTTCTGGAGGGGATGGAGCCACGAGAAGCCTGCCGCACCCACAGAGCCTGCCCCACATCCATGAGGCTGGGGTCTGAGGCTGCAGGTGGCGGCCCGGCCTCTCGAACAACAGCGAGTCACAGAGGAGCCACAGCCACCGAGAGCCTCCTGCCTGTGCTCAGGAGTCCACCATGGCTCAGATAAGGCAGCCCGGGATGCAACCCAGGCTGGGCTGCAGGAGAGGCCAAATCCCCAGCTGCGTCCTGGAGCTCTGACCCTCCTCCTGCCTGCATTCTCTTTCTTACTGCCCTATGCCGAAAGTCCTTTGCCCCTTACAGTACTCACAGACTCCTACACACACCTCAGAACCCGCGGGAGGTGGCCCCGAGAGTAAAGCTTCCTGGGTCCCCAGCGGCAGTTGCCCGGCCTCTTGTGTCCTGAAAAATTCCAGCTCCAGGGTTCTCTGAGAGGAATGTTTGGGTTGTGAGCAGTTTTGCCACTTTCTGGAGGGAGGAGTAGGGGAGTGTGCCACGAAACCCTCCTGACTGGGCCGTAGCCTGGAGGATGGGGACGGGAGGCTGGAGTGGGGAAGCCAGGCCACCCTTCATTATTCACCCCTGGAACTCATGGCTTATTTTCCAATTGAGATTCCTGCTCCAATTACTGTCTTTACACAAACAGGCTGGGCCATCCCGAGAGGGGAAGGCGCAGTGCCGCAGATCACTGCCCAGGGCCCTGAGGAGGTGGGTGGCACACAGCAGCGGGGGACAGCAGTTCACGCCAGAACCATTTCTGTGGGAGCGTGCGCTGGCGGAGTGCCCAGTCTCCTGTATGCCCCCACAGGAAGAGGCCCAGGCACACGTGGAGCCCCAGGGCATCCCAGAGACCACAGGTATGCCATGAGGTTGCTGGGCCTCAGAACGGACTGGCGTTGTCATGGGTTAGCCTCGGGTGCTCTGGGGTCAGCCAGGAGGTCAAGGGGCCCGGGACACCCTGTACATGGTCTCTGACCAGGCTGTCCAAAAGTAGAGGCCTTTCCCGCCTGGGCCAGAGCGAGCAGCACAGCCCCTGCCCCTGCACTCCGCTACCCAGGAGGGCTGGCACTTTCTGGAGGGGCAGTGAGGCGCAGTCCTGCCGGCTCTTGTGGCCAGCGCCACCTTTTGGGAGCCTGTGGGGCTGTGGGAGAAGAGGGGATGGGGGGCTGCAGGCCCAGAGGCAGAGCCGAACCTCGGGCTGGACCGGCTGCTCTTTAGTTTGGGTAGGGCCCCTGGGGCGGGTGGCAGTGTTGGCACTGGGGAAGGACCCTCTGCAGCCCTCACCACCTGGCATCGCCAGACTGGAGTTGCACAGCAGGGTGAGACAGCCTGAGGGTGCTGCCCCCATCCACATATTGCAGACCCAGGGGGCTTCCCACCAGGCAGAGGTGGTCCCGTTTCATGGACTTGCCTCCTGTGGCCCTCCCGACCCTCCACACTGCACTTGGCTGAGGATCTGAGCTCCTCCCAGCCCTGCCACATCCTGACCGTGCCTGCACCACTCTCTGCTCCCCACCACGTGGCTGCTGGTCAAATCCGCTGCCCCATTCCCAGGTACCAACAACCACCTCCTGAAAGAGGACACCTGCGGGTGGGAGTCACGCACAGAAGACACGCAGCGCGCCTTCACCCAGGGCCTCTGTGATTCCTGGCACACCCCAGGGCCTTCCCTGCACAACCCAGATTTGCTGGGACAGACCCAGGCTTGAGACCAAGCTTGCCAGGACTGGGCTCCCCCCCGAGGGCTACGTGCGTCCTCCCCAGTGTGTCCTGTTCTCCTCTTGGAGTCTGAAAGGAATAAAAGTGACAGTTCAAGCCTCTGCCTTCCCCTGGGAGAGACCGTCTCGAGGTATTCACACCTCCCAGACCCAAGCCCAGCTGCCAGCAGGCGCCGCCCTGACACATCCCCAGTGCCCGCTGCCTCCCAGGCCTCCATCCAGGCCCTGATGGCCACGTGGCCCTGCCCATCCCA